GAACTTCCCATGCACCAGCTAGTAATATGAGTTTGCCTATTGTCATACCAATTAGCATCCCAAAAAATTTGTCAAACACAACAACAGGTAAAACACCTGAAGCATCTCACACTTGAAATCATTTCTTTATTGTTTACAATACATTCAACAGAAATTTCCGTGTAAAGAAAGTATAGAACAAATGACAAGTAAAAATAAATTTCTCTGCATGCAGTTATATAACTGTGGGGCCAAATTCATGAGAAAATGGTAATCTTAACACAATTAATTTCAAAGACAGTCTCAACACGGTGGCATATCGGATGGTGGCGGTAATAACTTTTCCTTCATAGATTTGGCATTCTTGATATGAAAACTGTGTCCATGCCCCATACAGCATATCGGTGAAAATGGCAATGAATAAACCACGCCCAAATATTATTCTAAGTTTAAGATAATACGATTAAGAGGAGTTTGTCGTCGTAAACAATTATAATGCAGAAACATAAGAAAAATTTTTGGTTAAAATATTAATTTGGTCCCTTAACTTTTAGATTTGTACTAAAATTATTTTTAAACTTTAAAAAATACCAAAATTGTCTTCAAACTTTAATTTTTTGTACCGAAACAGTCTTTCTATTAACAAAAATGTCACCTAACTTGTTATTTTGTTACAACTTTGGTTCTTTTTCAAAATACTAATAATGTATAAAATGAAACAATTACATTTTATTGCCATGACATATTTATATTTATATATTAAATTGACATATAATTAAAGTTGAAGGACTATATTACTAGTTGTAATCAAAGTTTAAAAACTAAATTGATACATGCCTTCAATGTTCAAGAACTAAGTTTTTTTTAGATGAATCAAAGTATGTATTATCATACGAAGTACAAGGGGTACTCCACCCATAGTCTCAAAACACCTTACAGGATAATAACTGTTCAAGAACTAAGTTAGTTTTGATATCTTAAACTTAGGTACCAAAATTAAAATTCAAAGATAATTTTGGTATTTTTTGAAGTTTGAGGATAATTTCAATACAAATTTAAAAGTTTAAACACCAAATTGATACTTTATTCCAAACATTTTCCTTTAATTAATTAATTTTGCTTGTTTCTAACCTTACACCTTTTTATTTATTTTTCTAAACTCGCAATCTAAATAGAAATTTAATAGGAATGTGCTACATACGTGTGGACTAAGCATGACCCTAAACTACATATCGAGGATTGCAATGCTACTCTCTCTCTCTCTCTCTCTCTCTCTCTCTCTCTCTCTCTCTCTCTCTCTCTAGGACACATATATAGAGAGAAAAAATAAACATGATTTATTTGTCCACATAAATTCAAAAAATCAAATTGTTAACACTAAAAAATAGAAAGTATGGAGCTGAGATCTTTATTGATAGAGAGAGTTTACAGTGAAGAGAAAGTGGAGAAAATAATTTGCCTCTTTAGGTTGATCCTTGAGGTATTTATAGGATATTTACATAAAACTATCCTAGGAGTACAACTTTATTTGATTGGTGTTTGGTTCTTTTAATTCTAGTGGGATTTAACCTATCTAACTTTGATAGGACTATTTTTAGGATGTTTCCATGCATTCTAATTCTCATAGGACTCAATTTAAGGTATAACATTTGCCCCCCAATGAAGAAGTTTGAGGGTAATGAAAACTTGTCGAGTCTCATCTTCACGTTGGTTTTGCTATTTGTAACTTGACTCCAAATTGTGCATAGCTTTTTCATATCTTTGCCTTTAAGAGGTTCCATCTTTTTATGGCAAAGATTTTGTGACCATGACTACCTCATTAAAAACCTTAGCTAATAAAAACCCTATAGGATGAAAAATTAGCTTAAGGAAAAAAGAGTACAGAACAGGTTTTTCCTTGTATTCACAACTTTTGGAGTGCTCTCTGCTGGATTTTCATATGCTGTGCAAGTATCCTAACTTCTTTATTTGTATTTAGTTGTATTTTCTTCAAGATTTCTTTGCTGGTGTAGTCGTTTCCCTTGCAGGCTTTTTGACACATGTTCGCCTTTTATTTGTGAGTTTGTATCGGTGATTTGCAACACCTCTGTTTCTCAATTTCCTCTTCTTTCTTCTCTGATTTTTCTTCCTTCTCTTCTTTCGCTATTCTTGCTTTCTTTCTTCTACTTTGCCATTTTTCTGTTTTGTTGGAGGTTTAAGCTAATCAAAAGTTGAAGTTTATGATTAAGGTCCATCATATGTTCCTCTAGGTAGATCTCTGGTTGAAGTAAACAAAAGATTGAGTAGCTTTTGGGATGCAGAGGATTCTGCTACAACTATTCATAGTAGGAGTAATTCAATTGATGTGGAGGTTCTCAAGGTATCCTTCTTTAGCTTTTTGGACCTCTTGTTGAACCTTTGTAGTCTTGCTTGCGTAGCTTTTGCCCAGGTGTTTATATACACCTTAACTTGCCCGCAGCTTTTAATATAGCCTTATTTGCATAACTTTTTCCTGGGTATTTATGTACACCCAAACTTGCTCACAGCTTTCATTTGCGTAGCTTTTGCCTAGGTATTTATGTAAATACCCCCAAACTTGCTCATAGCTTTCGTTTGCGTAACTTTTGCCTGGGTATTTATGTACACCCAAACTTACTTGCAGCTTTCGTTGGCATAGCTTTTGCCTAGGTATTTATGTACAC